TAAATGAAATAGTCTCCATTCTTATCGATGATGCTTTTCCATATTACAATCAGGTTGTAAATACCCTGATTAATTGGTTTTGAAGCAAAAAACATGTTGAAGTCCTCTTCAACATCTTCCACATTTGCATACGTTTTCCCATTAAGATGGTGTTGCAGCGAACAAAAAAGATGGTAATCTGATGGTGCCGTATCTGGGGAATATGGTGGGTGGGGGAGAACTTCACAACCCAACTCCATAATCTTGTGTTATGTCAAACATGCCACATGTGGACATGCATTGTTGTGGAGAAGAAGAATACCTTTATGATTGACGAGTGAAGGGAGTTTCTGATGAAGGGCTTGATTTAAACCTTCTAGTTGCTGACTATATATCTCTGCATTGACATTTCACTGTGGTGTGAGGAGTTCAAAATGAATTACTCTTTTGATGTCCCACCAAATGCAAAGCATCACTTTCTGTAGATGGAGTCCACGTTTTTGGGTCGGAAGTAGTTTTTGTCTAGGACTGAGCCATTGTTTTTGGCATGTAATATTCACATATAGAATCCATATAAATTGGTGTCTTTACTGTAGATTAGGATTTGGTGGTTGTATGTTTATATTAGTGTCTTTACTGTAGATTAGGATGTGGTGGTTGTATGTTTAGATTAGTGTCTTTACTGCAGATTAGAATGTGGTGGTTGTATCTTTAGATTAGTGTCTTTACTGTAGATTAGGATGTGGTGGTTGTATGTTTAGATTAGTGTCTTTACTGTAGATTAGGATGTGGTGGTTGTATGTTTAGATTAGTGTCTTTACTGTATATTATGATGTAGTGGTTGTATCTTTAGATTAGTGTCTTTACTGTAGACAAGGGTGTGGTGGTTGTATCTTTAGATTAGTGTCTTTACTGTAGATAAGGATGTGGTGGTTGTATGTTTAGATTAGTGTCTTTACTGTAGATTAGGATGTGGTGGTTGTATCTTTAGATTAGTGTCTTTACTGTATATTATGATGCAGTGGTTGTATCTTTAGATTAGTGTCTTTACTGTAGATTAGGATGTGGTGGTTGTGTGTTTAGATTAGTGTCTTTACTGTAGATTAGGATGTGGTGGTTTACTAATCAACTAAATGTCACAGTCATTAATAAATTTTTCCCATATAAGATTAATCTTATTTTCAGATTTGTTTTTAAGAAGTCGTTTAATATGATAGACATCTTACTGTATTTCTTCTGTGTAAAAAAACATTTTTATGTTGAAGAAGCTGGGGCCAAATGTTTTTAAAGAAGATCTTGACATAGAGACAACCTAATGGCTGCCCTTTTGTTTTTAAAATATGCATTGATCTTGTGTAAATCAACAAATGATATTGTTTGTACTTGCAACATATCAGGATAGCAGTAAAAATAGTTAAGTAGCCAGTTAGTCTATTTATTTATGCATGTTTGAATATGATAAACATAATATATATAATAAATAAGGATTTGAGTCATCAGAATATTTCACTGCAGTCTACAATACTTTCTAAGCCTAAATAAGCTTATCGGATGTCTTTAACATAAGGAAATTTCTGTAGCTCCCATAACTTCATGAAGAAAAAAAAGAATGTCTAAAAAAAACATAAATAAAAGTTCCCAGCTTTGTTGTTTATTCCATGTACTTAACTCCTTCCCATTAAATATATGCCTTTCTTTGTTCAGTGTTGAACTTTTGAACTCTTAAAGTTGTAGTGAAAGAAACCAGAAAAAGTTTGAAGGCTATAATGAATAATGTAAGTTAAATTCAGGATATCATGGGGGAGGGGGATGGGCAAGTTGGATTGAACAAATGTTGTGTTACCTAAACAAGGAGAGAGTTTATTTAATATATTTCCTTTTGAAATTAAATTAAAATTTGATTTATGAACTATGTTTTGATGCCAAGTGTATTTGTATACTTTTATAATATTTTAATTAAAATTTTGAATGAAACCCTGTAAGTAACAGTTACAAGTATACTTTTACTTAACCTCACCAAGACGGTCAGATTACTTTTTATCTGAAGAAACAAGAAATATGTTAATTTTGTTCACTAACACTGAAAGTAATGCAGTGTAACAATATTAAGTTTTACACCTTGTTAAACATTAGTAAATATAGTTATTCAAGTATAAGTTATAACACATTGTAAGTAAAACAGTAAATTAATACTTTATTAACATTCACTAGCCTAAGGGATGGCGGCAGATAGCGTTAGTAGCTACTAAAAGGACAAACATGTTTGGTGGTAGTAGAAATCAAACCCGAGACCCACCTGATTATAGGATCATTCTAGGCCAAAGCTGAATGATCTTGAAATAATCAAAGATAACGATAGTAAGAAATCATAATGGCAATATTTCAATTATGTGGACATTTGGAATAATTAGAAATACTATTTTTGATCAGTTTTTTATTTTTTTATTTTAATGACATTAAATAATTAAATCATAATTTCAATTAATTGGACAGTTCTAGTGGGGATTGTATGTTGAA